CTAATATTTTCTATTATAGAAAATATTGAGAGAATTGCAAATGCACAAATATATACTTGCAACATGCAAACAACTGAAGATTTCAAGAAATGGATTTAACATTAGTACAATGCTGGAACATCAAGATATTGAAACAATTAAATTTCTGAAATTACCCACCACAATTGAAAAATTCCCAAAACTGGGTAATTATCCATACATTGCCAATGCTAACACAAAGTTAAAAAAAGTGTGATACTTACTACTGCACTATAAGTTACAAAATTTGGTTTCAGATCTCTTCCATTCATAGTTATGAAAGCTCCTTTATTTCCCATTGTGTCACTAAAACCAAAATTAAATTAGCGACTAATTTAAATTTGAAGAATGCCTATTGATAAGACTTACCAATAATTTGGAGCCGAAAATACAGTTATGCATTTTCCATCGTGCATGACTTCGTAACCTTCCGCTTTCACTTCGTGACTACGAATAATGTAATCTAAATTATTATGAGTTATAAACTTTTTGGTAACGTCAGGACCAAACTGGATTCCAACACCCCTCTTACTGGGCGAACGTCCCTTTTGTGGTTGGGGATCAGACCATAGTAATTCACACATAATACCTAAAAACAAATTCTCTTAAGTTGTATTGATCAATTCAAACAGATGCACTTTTACTTACCCTCTTCTGGTGGCTGTCTGTTTCTGTCTGTTTTTTCTATATCTTCTAATGTAACATCATCTTGAGAAAATAAACCACCGTGCATAACCTAATTGTTAAAAACTCATTAATTACAAAAATAACTACTTATTTATTTTTCTTTGCATATTTTTAACTTACCAGTATTTTTTTATTTATACAATATGCTAATGGAAGAAAATTAAATACTTCTGTAAATAATTCTGCCATCTGAGCAGAATATGTAATTATAGTTAAGGTTCTTTATCCTCTAATTAATTTTACCAGAAAGATTTATACAGTAGAGAGTCATTATCCAAACCACTTGGGGACCGGGGTTGTTCAGATAACTGATTATGTATGAAAAAATATATTAACCTATCCCAAATTGAAATTTTTCTCCGTTGCGTGTTGCTTCGTGTTGAATTTTCATCAATGTTAAGCCTAATGTAAACTTTTTAAAATAATAATCGTGGCTATTGTATCGTTAAAAATTATTTCTTTATTTTGTACAAACAAAAATATATTGAAAAATATAAAAACAAAAAAAAAAATACTTTAGAAGTTAATCTAGTATCAAAAAACATTCGATTCAGCACGACACACAGTCCTCAAAAAAACACTACACAAAAGTGCCAGTGCTGCCAGCTAAAAAACACACACCAACATAAAAAATATCGGAGTAGCCCAAGACATAGCCAAAGATTGCAGCACCACAGCACTAGCGGAAATTTAAACTTGCCAACTGGAACGCTTTCGGTTAACCGACGTTTCGGATAAACGACGCTCTTCTGTAATTTAAAAGTTTTATGATTTACAAATTAAAAACTATAGGTTATCTAGAATATGTAACAATCAAATGATCTTTTCATTCAACCTATTTATAAATTTAATTAAAAGGATATTTTGATCTGACTTCACCTTCAAACCCGTACATTTGATTCATTGTTTCACTTTCATGATTGCCTGAAAATAACAAAATTAATATTTAAATGTTACACAAATGTTATCTTAATAACATACATTATATCTTACCTCTAGACATGTAGAAATGATTAGGATAAAGCAATTTAAAACCAAATAATGTAAAAATGCACTCAACAGAAAATGATCCTCTATCAACAAAATCACCATTAAAAAGCTTTGGTAGGAATTAAGAAAAAAATTTCAGAATAATAATGTAAATAATACAGTAATATGTTTTTGTTTGATAGTTTTAAAAGCTTAAAAAAGATACATAAGGATTTGTTTCGGAAGGAAGTCCATTCAGTTCAAATATATTGAGCAAATCATAATATTGTCCATGAATATCTCCACAAACCGTAAATTTGCTATCCTGATAAAATATTTAGTATTTATGTTTTCTTAATATTTTTTATTTTAATAATTAAAATATCAACTACTTACTGGTGGAACATCAATATAAACTAAACTAGGTGAATTTTGAAATATTTCTTTTATATCCAACAGCATCTAAAATTTAATAATATAACATTGCTATTAATTAGACTTGTACAACTTAAATATTAAAATAATATTTTTTTGACAAAAGAAAAATTTTATTATTAATTCTGTAAATAAAAAAAACTGTTGTATAATTATTTTAATAATGTTAAATTGAGTTTTAATTAAATCATTTACTTAATAAATATTTTTAAATTTATTTTTTAGAACATTAATGTATGTTAATATATAATACTAACTTTATAAGCATATTTCCTATGTAATTTTTTCCCATCTTTAAAAGCAGATGTTAACTCTTCCATAAACTTTTTAGTTACTTTCCCATCTTCTAATTTTGGTCCTATGTAATTATCTTCTATTGCTAAAATAAAATTTGTAAAAAAAATTTAACTTTTTTTGGGATTAAAAAAAATTTTTTAATTGGATAATAAATGAATATTTATATAATATTCATTTATTATCTAATTACTATATTCAGAATAATTTAATTTTTATTTCAATGAATTTAGAGTGAATGTAAGAATAACAATTTTTGAATCTGAAAGAAATTCTTTTTGTAAAATGTTAGTTACTGTAAAATTTTAACTGAAATTTCACTATAATGAAAACAGGTTGTATATTGTATTGTAATTTATAGGTATAATCATTATCTATTTGTAGTATAAATTTATTCTTAACATTGATTTCAATTGACATATCAATAAAATAATTTCAGTATCACAAAATTTAAACTTTCATTAGCAAGCATATAGCTTGTGTATTTTTATAATTCTACCTTTTCTGAATTAGTTAATAAATATTGATCATTAAGACTGCACATAAAGAAAGCTAGCAATATTTTTCCATTTCAATTTATCTTAATGCTAGAATTGTAATATTGTTTTTCATTAAAAATTTTATTTCATTTCAGTAATTACAAAAGTTACTTTTTGTTATAATTTTAGAAAACAATTTTTAAATGGTAATTTTAAATTATTAAAATACATTTATTTTCTAAATGTCTATAACGTTCTGCTTTCTACCAATATGAGTCTATTGTAAATGTCTTGTTTTAATTATAATTAAGCTAATCTAATTAACAACATATTTTTACTTAGTAAACAGAAAAGTAATTACCACGATTTCATACAGAAGAACAAATTCATATAAACATAATTAGATTAATTTCCCAAATATAAATTAATAAAGTTTTAAATATAAAAATTATCATCAATATAAAAATAGCTACATAAATTATACATATACAGTACTATTAAAATAATTAAATTTAAAAAATTACTTAAATATAATGTTAAAATATTAGCAGTTCGTGATATTATTTAAAAAATGATATAATAAAGTTTTTATTTTATTAATAGCACAAAATATTAAAATTTGTCAGGTTTACTTACTCATGCTATCAAGATTTATATCATCAGCTACTGACTTTTTTGTATCATCAACAGCTATTGCTTTTTCAAAAGCTACCCTTCTAACTATTTTATTACATTCATTAAACTTCATTTTTGCATCTCTGTCATTGGGTCTTGCTTTTGTCACCTTGAAAGAAACAAAAAATAAATAAATAAATAAAATTTAATCAAGAAAGATTAAAAATGGAATCATCAATAAGTTTAGTTTACTAAATGAAAAAAAAATTTGCATTTGTTTTAATGCAATTTGGACCTTAAATTAAAAATGTACTGAATACAGAAAATTTAATCTATTTCATTGAAATCAAGGCATAAATTTAATTTTGGTAAATTACTTAATCATAAGATTAACAATTTTCTAAAATAGATAAATAAAAAAATGATGGGTGAAATTAAAGAATTTTAATATGTCAATTTGCTGCTTACTAAAATTATTCTCAATAGTCTAAACTGAATTATAAAGCTGTTTCTTTGCAGACACACTAAGGTGACATATATCAACACTTGGCAACTTATTGACTATTTATTCAGTTGGGACGCCTTTTACATTACGCGTTTCGGGCATTGGCCCCTCTTCAGCCAACATAAAACACAAACCACTATTGTACAGATGTCGTACAGGATGGACAATTTCATATTTCATATACAACTTGGAGAACAAACAAGGTCGACGATAATCATTGGAGAACAAACAGGGTCGTAGATAACAGCTTGACTACTGGGCTTTTAAATATGGCTTTCTTATAATTTACACAAAATTCAAATAAATAGATTGACAATTACAACATATCTTAACAATATTTGTTTTTACCTGTGGTTGATATTCGCATATTACACCGAAATTCATTCGATATTAGTTGTCGCCCTTTCTTTCCGAACAAAATTTCACAAAGTCATCTTAGCAATATTATCCAAACTGCCNTATTACAGGTTCCGACAAGTAAAGAATTTTTATAGTCCTGCCACAAATAAGCTATATATTGATTATTGACCATTTGTGACATGCTATAACGAGCAAAAATTTAAAAAAAACTAATAGGTACTGTACGTTTAAAATTAATAAATACAAATGCATTCTGACAGTGAATGAGTTAATTATGCTTTCTATTTGCAAAATTCCTCAACCTTAACACAAAATAAGAAAAAAAGTGAATTTTTAAGAAATTTGCGGATTTCCCGGGTTAAAAAAACAACCGGGATCCCGGAATCCCGTTTGAGAAACCCTAGTATCTACCAACCAGATGATGATGTTACTAACTTTAATGTTTATGTTTCAGCCAAAGCCAGAAATAAATCACATGTACTGTACATTTAAAAAACAATGTACATTTGTTTGTAGTTTTTCATTTCCTTTTATGTTTGATCTTGCTAATTCAAAAACTCAGGATAGCGAGAGTGCAATATGAATTTATGGACTTTTCATTACAAATCTGTTTGAAATAATAGTATACTAACTACTAATTAAAAAATTAAAGAAATATTCTTTTTTTTAATAATTTTTATTTACAGAAATGCAAGATTTACTCGCATTTGTTGTGCAGATTTCTGCATAGCAATAATTAAACATAAATCGGTCGACTCAAATTCAGTCATCTGCTGGTGTTAAATTACACAAACGGACATATAAACACGGCAAAAAATAAAATATCTTGCAACCATAAGAAAATTTCACTTTAAAATATTACATTTTGCAAAAATCACAGTCACTATCCCTTTGGACGCACACTAAATTCGTATGATACGGTACAGTACATAGAAACTGCAACCGAATACAGTCGACAAAAAACAAAAACCACAAGTATTAACAAATGGGAAATGATACAAAATTTAAATAAATATATGTATATATTTATTTATTTTATTAAAACTGCTCTTTTAAAATTAAACTGATATTCAATATTTTTTTTTTTTACTGAAAAATTGTTATCAAAATTTGAAAACAAACAATGAATTAAATTGTAAGTAAATTATTGAGTGTATGCTAATTACAAGTTCTCTCTTCTTTTCTTACAAATGAGGTGTATAATGCATTGACATGTAGGTTATAAAATTGTCAGAAAAATGTTTTAATATAGGATGATTTTTTAAGATATGCTTTCTATATATTAATGAAAAACTAACAGAATTTTATAAAAACAAAAATGTTGTTGTATGTAACAGTTTACCGAATTGCAATAGATATATACACATCATCATAGTGCATGATAAAATGATCTTTGTAGTGCCAACTAAGTTCCCATACATATTTTTGTTTTCATTAAATATTTTACTGACACCAACAGATGACAGAAACCCTAATTCAATGGACCTATTTATTTTTTTTTAATGATAGGCATTGATGAACGAATGATTTTCAGGCAGGATACTAGATAGGAATTAATTGTCCTAAGCACCTATGTATTTTTGTCACATAAATGCTAATAAATTGCTTGCATAGGCCATAGGTTTAACATTTGGATGAGGCTGAAAATAGAAATTGTTCATGATGTATCTTTCTTATATTAAATTAGAATACAGAGTGGCATTGACAATGTGAATAAGGAAAATTACCCCTATCACATTCAAAAAATACCCAAGTCAACCTACTCTCTTCTTCAGGAAATCATTTATGACTGATGTATTTTGTCCACTCCTTAAATTGTTTGACTTTCTCTTATGGCTTCTCCACCTCTTGGTTTCACAGCGTCCTTTTGCATCTCATTTATTAACTAAGTGCCGTGACCTGCCAGCTTGATAAATCTGTGAAATGCACCTAATTAAACATCATCATCCCTTTATTGATTATAAAGATTAGAATGTATACAAGCTCATAATGGAATGATGATTTTTAATTAGGTGCATTTTGGATTCTCACACTTTGTAACCTTTATAATTACAATATTAATGAAAAGGAAAATTTGATTCCTAAAGCTAAAATTTTGAAAAAATGCCTTTCTAATATTTTCTATTATAGAAAATATTGAGAGAATTGCAAATGCACAAATATATACTTGCAACATGCAAACAACTGAAGATTTCAAGAAATGGATTTAACATTAGTACAATGCTGGAACATCAAGATATTGAAACAATTAAATTTCTGAAATTACCCACCACAATTGAAAAATTCCCAAAACTGGGTAATTATCCATACATTGCCAATGCTAACACAAAGTTAAAAAAAGTGTGATACTTACTACTGCACTATAAGTTACAAAATTTGGTTTCAGATCTCTTCCATTCATAGTTATGAAAGCTCCTTTATTTCCCATTGTGTCACTAAAACCAAAATTAAATTAGCGACTAATTTAAATTTGAAGAATGCCTATTGATAAGACTTACCAATAATTTGGAGCCGAAAATACAGTTATGCATTTTCCATCGTGCATGACTTCGTAACCTTCCGCTTTCACTTCGTGACTACGAATAATGTAATCTAAATTATTATGAGTTATAAACTTTTTGGTAACGTCAGGACCAAACTGGATTCCAACACCCCTCTTACTGGGCGAACGTCCCTTTTGTGGTTGGGGATCAGACCATAGTAATTCACACATAATACCTAAAAACAAATTCTCTTAAGTTGTATTGATCAATTCAAACAGATGCACTTTTACTTACCCTCTTCTGGTGGCTGTCTGTTTCTGTCTGTTTTTTCTATATCTTCTAATGTAACATCATCTTGAGAAAATAAACCACCGTGCATAACCTAATTGTTAAAAACTCATTAATTACAAAAATAACTACTTATTTATTTTTCTTTGCATATTTTTAACTTACCAGTATTTTTTTATTTATACAATATGCTAATGGAAGAAAATTAAATACTTCTGTAAATAATTCTGCCATCTGAGCAGAATATGTAATTATAGTTAAGGTTCTTTATCCTCTAATTAATTTTACCAGAAAGATTTATACAGTAGAGAGTCATTATCCAAACCACTTGGGGACCGGGGTTGTTCAGATAACTGATTATGTATGAAAAAATATATTAACCTATCCCAAATTGAAATTTTTCTCCGTTGCGTGTTGCTTCGTGTTGAATTTTCATCAATGTTAAGCCTAATGTAAACTTTTTAAAATAATAATCGTGGCTATTGTATCGTTAAAAATTATTTCTTTATTTTGTACAAACAAAAATATATTGAAAAATATAAAAACAAAAAAAAAAATACTTTAGAAGTTAATCTAGTATCAAAAAACATTCGATTCAGCACGACACACAGTCCTCAAAAAAACACTACACAAAAGTGCCAGTGCTGCCAGCTAAAAAACACACACCAACATAAAAAATATCGGAGTAGCCCAAGACATAGCCAAAGATTGCAGCACCACAGCACTAGCGGAAATTTAAACTTGCCAACTGGAACGCTTTCGGTTAACCGACGTTTCGGATAAACGACGCTCTTCTGTAATTTAAAAGTTTTATGATTTACAAATTAAAAACTATAGGTTATCTAGAATATGTAACAATCAAATGATCTTTTCATTCAACCTATTTATAAATTTAATTAAAAGGATATTTTGATCTGACTTCACCTTCAAACCCGTACATTTGATTCATTGTTTCACTTTCATGATTGCCTGAAAATAACAAAATTAATATTTAAATGTTACACAAATGTTATCTTAATAACATACATTATATCTTACCTCTAGACATGTAGAAATGATTAGGATAAAGCAATTTAAAACCAAATAATGTAAAAATGCACTCAACAGAAAATGATCCTCTATCAACAAAATCACCATTAAAAAGCTTTGGTAGGAATTAAGAAAAAAATTTCAGAATAATAATGTAAATAATACAGTAATATGTTTTTGTTTGATAGTTTTAAAAGCTTAAAAAAGATACATAAGGATTTGTTTCGGAAGGAAGTCCATTCAGTTCAAATATATTGAGCAAATCATAATATTGTCCATGAATATCTCCACAAACCGTAAATTTGCTATCCTGATAAAATATTTAGTATTTATGTTTTCTTAATATTTTTTATTTTAATAATTAAAATATCAACTACTTACTGGTGGAACATCAATATAAACTAAACTAGGTGAATTTTGAAATATTTCTTTTATATCCAACAGCATCTAAAATTTAATAATATAACATTGCTATTAATTAGACTTGTACAACTTAAATATTAAAATAATATTTTTTTGACAAAAGAAAAATTTTATTATTAATTCTGTAAATAAAAAAAACTGTTGTATAATTATTTTAATAATGTTAAATTGAGTTTTAATTAAATCATTTACTTAATAAATATTTTTAAATTTATTTTTTAGAACATTAATGTATGTTAATATATAATACTAACTTTATAAGCATATTTCCTATGTAATTTTTTCCCATCTTTAAAAGCAGATGTTAACTCTTCCATAAACTTTTTAGTTACTTTCCCATCTTCTAATTTTGGTCCTATGTAATTATCTTCTATTGCTAAAATAAAATTTGTAAAAAAAATTTAACTTTTTTTGGGATTAAAAAAAATTTTTTAATTGGATAATAAATGAATATTTATATAATATTCATTTATTATCTAATTACTATATTCAGAATAATTTAATTTTTATTTCAATGAATTTAGAGTGAATGTAAGAATAACAATTTTTGAATCTGAAAGAAATTCTTTTTGTAAAATGTTAGTTACTGTAAAATTTTAACTGAAATTTCACTATAATGAAAACAGGTTGTATATTGTATTGTAATTTATAGGTATAATCATTATCTATTTGTAGTATAAATTTATTCTTAACATTGATTTCAATTGACATATCAATAAAATAATTTCAGTATCACAAAATTTAAACTTTCATTAGCAAGCATATAGCTTGTGTATTTTTATAATTCTACCTTTTCTGAATTAGTTAATAAATATTGATCATTAAGACTGCACATAAAGAAAGCTAGCAATATTTTTCCATTTCAATTTATCTTAATGCTAGAATTGTAATATTGTTTTTCATTAAAAATTTTATTTCATTTCAGTAATTACAAAAGTTACTTTTTGTTATAATTTTAGAAAACAATTTTTAAATGGTAATTTTAAATTATTAAAATACATTTATTTTCTAAATGTCTATAACGTTCTGCTTTCTACCAATATGAGTCTATTGTAAATGTCTTGTTTTAATTATAATTAAGCTAATCTAATTAACAACATATTTTTACTTAGTAAACAGAAAAGTAATTACCACGATTTCATACAGAAGAACAAATTCATATAAACATAATTAGATTAATTTCCCAAATATAAATTAATAAAGTTTTAAATATAAAAATTATCATCAATATAAAAATAGCTACATAAATTATACATATACAGTACTATTAAAATAATTAAATTTAAAAAATTACTTAAATATAATGTTAAAATATTAGCAGTTCGTGATATTATTTAAAAAATGATATAATAAAGTTTTTATTTTATTAATAGCACAAAATATTAAAATTTGTCAGGTTTACTTACTCATGCTATCAAGATTTATATCATCAGCTACTGACTTTTTTGTATCATCAACAGCTATTGCTTTTTCAAAAGCTACCCTTCTAACTATTTTATTACATTCATTAAACTTCATTTTTGCATCTCTGTCATTGGGTCTTGCTTTTGTCACCTTGAAAGAAACAAAAAATAAATAAATAAATAAAATTTAATCAAGAAAGATTAAAAATGGAATCATCAATAAGTTTAGTTTACTAAATGAAAAAAAAATTTGCATTTGTTTTAATGCAATTTGGACCTTAAATTAAAAATGTACTGAATACAGAAAATTTAATCTATTTCATTGAAATCAAGGCATAAATTTAATTTTGGTAAATTACTTAATCATAAGATTAACAATTTTCTAAAATAGATAAATAAAAAAATGATGGGTGAAATTAAAGAATTTTAATATGTCAATTTGCTGCTTACTAAAATTATTCTCAATAGTCTAAACTGAATTATAAAGCTGTTTCTTTGCAGACACACTAAGGTGACATATATCAACACTTGGCAACTTATTGACTATTTATTCAGTTGGGACGCCTTTTACATTACGCGTTTCGGGCATTGGCCCCTCTTCAGCCAACATAAAACACAAACCACTATTGTACAGATGTCGTACAGGATGGACAATTTCATATTTCATATACAACTTGGAGAACAAACAAGGTCGACGATAATCATTGGAGAACAAACAGGGTCGTAGATAACAGCTTGACTACTGGGCTTTTAAATATGGCTTTCTTATAATTTACACAAAATTCAAATAAATAGATTGACAATTACAACATATCTTAACAATATTTGTTTTTACCTGTGGTTGATATTCGCATATTACACCGAAATTCATTCGATATTAGTTGTCGCCCTTTCTTTCCGAACAAAATTTCACAAAGTCATCTTAGCAATATTATCCAAACTGCCAATTTACATAGAACATACTTAAAGCAATTACATTAATTGTACAAACTAGTAATT